ATGCAGCGGGTCACATGATAAAGAGTAACGATAATAACCATGAAAAGGACAACCCGCAGCTCAAATGACATTCTAAAGAGTAAATACATGAATAATGTATGCACATTGTATCTACATAAATGATACCTACTCTAATGTCATCAACACTAATGACAAATGGCTATGAACAATACATAAAAGACATATGGATCATTATACTGTCATTATCATTATTTTTCCAGTAATATGCGTGTGAACTGTTGACCACATAATAACCAATCTGAACTAACAGTTACCTTTTGTACTATTTTGGAAGTTTGAAACAAATATTTACTTCATCGCCTATGTGGTATACACTTACATTTGTTTCTATTGCATCAGTATGATACACGCATACCCATATATAAGTTTAACACACGTGTGTGTCTTTATTGTGTCTATTTTGTATTCTGTGGAAGTAGCAATTTAAAGTTTGTTTGTGTAAAGTTGCACACTTACAAATTAAACGAACAGTAATCAATTATTTGTTTACTAATATTTGTTCTATCTACACTTGAAATAAACACAACAAATATACAAAATATTACAACGAGAATTTTTACTAATGAGTCGAGTGCAACAAAATGTTGCCTAACTTTTTTATACCAGTACGCCGTGTAAAGGCCTTGTGTAGTTACCTAAATATAAATATGCCGTTGCTAATTCAAGACTAACTACTTTCCATTTCATATGTCGCTTTACATTCTCAAAATGCATTATAAATTAGAAAATATTACAACTCATTTGATTGTGTCGACTATAGAATACACCGACAACAAAAATAAGTTTAAACGCTGTCTTTTTTACTCGACTCGCTGTGTTTCCCTTATATTACACCTTAGCTCTGCCAACTAGACCTGCCGCGACCCAGAGGCATCAACCAATCATTGCATTGGTAATGTAGCTAAACTAAATCAAAATATGACCAGTTTACAATCCTTGATAACTCGCCACTAGACATGAGTGAAACTAATTTATATGCGTGGAGAAACTGAAGTGGAATTTGGAATGGGTTTTCATACATATATCACACACGACCTATGAAACTATCAGAAATATTAAAATATATATAATTCGTAATGATAATTCAATGAATATTATACAAAACACAATGTTTTGAGATATTATTTTTGATAGTCAGCTATAGCTAGTCAGTCAAACTGCTTGCATGGGTCAATCAGATTGCCAGGATTGTAATTACATAGTATGGAAAGATTGAAAATTATTACTATGCTTGAAATTATAACACCGAGCTGACGTGATATACGGCATAAATATATGTATATTCACTGTTGAGAAATTATGGGGTATACCGGTATTTTACTTACTTTCGCAATTACATGTACCATTGAGTAATTGTTCACCAAACTATTAAGAAACAAAAACAATAATCAC